TCATATGTGAATTTTGAGATGACTGAGCACACAAACACTTAAAGGACACATTTATTGCTATTTATTGTAAATCCAAGACCTTTCAAGTACTTTCCAGACCCGTAGAAACCCTGTTAAAGCTAGAATATGTAACATTTCTGCATTAAAATGTCAATAAACACTAAAGATATGTTATATATGTAGTTGAGTTCTTACATTATCCCAGATGTTTCCAACAATGTTCTAACTTTATTCAGGTAACGCTGCGTTTCACCAGTCATCAGCGTTGTGGTTGTCTGTCAGAAGCTGTCATACATTGACTGTTGATCCAGTCTGAAGCCACATTGTTACCATCAGCTGTTTAGATCTTGGTGCTTTTTAACTCTAGATTTGAACCGGATGAAGGATTTTAGTCATCGGACGTCTGGATCTTAAGTTATCAGAGAAACAAGCTGAGCTAACGTTAGCAGCAGCTCGGCTCGCAGCCCCTCCGGGATGTCCTTTGTCTGTCCAACAGCGTGGGAGAAGCAGTGATTTTTAAGGTGGAACTGCTTTATTCAGTGTTTTTAGTGGTTTTAATCAGCGGGTCTGTTTGTGTTGGAGAGGAGGAGACCTCTGTGGATCATTGGGCTCCCGGTAGAAACCTCCTGAACCATGAACACTGAAGGAATCCTAACCGGGAGAAGCTGACTGCAATGACGCCAATGGTGGTGAAGACAACAACTCCCATGATCCCACACTACTTAAATGTCATCAAACCTTTTTTTAAAAAAAAAAAGAAATTCAAATGACTGGAAGATCTATAATGTGTCTGGAAAAGTAAAATTAAAATATAAAGCTAACAATCATGTTGATTAGAGCTACAATAACCTGTCTCACATGGTCCTGTCTGTGTGCGGCTGGATCCCCTGATAAGCCTTTACTCGTCCCACAGTGGCAGTGTGAGCTGCAGCCTCTGGACTCATGGCTCTCATCACCCGCTGACCTGGAAAGCGGCGGCGTAAGATCTGCAACATCACTTCAACTGGCAGACAACATGCTGCTTTGAAGTGGGAGTGGACCTAAATTGGATTATGCGGCATCTCTGAGGAGCAGCTCCCGTAGATTTGATTACACACGCCCCCTCACCCGACACAACCGCACTTCTACTCCCCCCCCCATGCAGATGAGAAGACATGGGGCGGATCCTCCCTGCCAGAGTCTGGCACTCCACTTCTTAACGTGTGCCCATCTGCCAGCCATTTACCTGATTACTTGGGGATAACTCAGACAGGTCGGGCTCTTCCAGGGCAGCTGGGAGGCCAGAGAATGCGTTCATGTTGTACAGGTGGTCACAGGGACAGATAAGGACCAGATGACCCTTTTATCTGTGAAAACAAGCATCATCAAAATGGAGAAAACGGATGTCTGGCAGCCGAATACAATGGTGTTGTTGTGTTTTTAGTGTTGAAGTAGTCACAAAACTACTAATTTAGCAGCTTAAACACAGAGAAACACACACAGAGGACAAGCTGTTCTCATCATCCAGTCTCAGCCGACTAAGTACTGTTTAAAATAAAGTCCCAAGCACAGACTTCAAATCCTCCACGCAGGCATGGCACACAGACCACCTTCTATTTCTGAGGAAAATAACATCCAGTCCTGGTTTAACTTGGGCTCATTATGGTGGAAGTGGGTTCCAGGGCCAGGAAGTTTCATTGCTTTCCAAATAAATCTCACTAAACAGAGCTGTAATCCAAATTCCTCATCTTGTGGAGTCCTCCCCAAGTCCTCACATTAAGAGAGAGCTCTGAAAAACCGACTATAAATCACACCGTGTCCTTCTAGATATCACGTACTGTAACATTCGTTCTGGTGAAAATGAGTTCAGTAGCACAAAGAAACTTTTTAAAAAGTGTTTTTTTTTCCCCTGACAAAGCTGCTCATTTTTACCAAATGCAGACCAGTTCCTGATTGTTTCCACATAAAAGGGGCAAAGCAGCTCTCAAATTCAAACCAGCTCATGAAAAATTATCAAAAAGAATGAGGCCCTTTAATATTCGTCCGGTTTTACCGCGTGGCACAGAGGGTTTTCATTACCTTGCTCACTGCGAGCAAATTTCAGACATCAACTTTGATTATGTTACGTAGAGCCTGGCAAGGGAACAATCAGGAGGTGCTGTGGGTGGGTGTGATGGTCTGCCCCGATTCAAACGGGCTTTATTTAGAAAACAAGCAGGGAATATCTTCCAACCAACATCCAGGAAGAAGCAGAAACCCCTGCTTTTACTGACATGTGGCTCTCAAAATGGGTGATCCTAGTTACAGCTCCTCAGCTGTGTTGGAAGGAGGAACTTGTCACTGAGCGTAAACAGCTCTCTTGGCTTAGTTCTACGAGCTAAAATACCCCCCAACCCACCCCATCTACCCCCGCCGACACCCCATCTCCTTGTGCTGTGTGGCGTCAGCTGCAATGAGCTCCAGATGTGGCCTGGCACCCCTCCAGTCACGGCACTGGATGTGGTTTGAAGGTAGTTTGGAAACACCACCCACCAGCGGACCCAATGAAAGTTCCTCAGACTGCAGCGAGGGGTTACTGTGGCGGGTTCGTGCGGCCTGCAGGAGCGCAGAGGAAGTGCAGTGCTGTTGTGCACATTTTGTGGAGGGCTAAAAAGGGGGTAGCAGGGGGTCTGCCTCTTGTACGTGCATGTGTTACTTATTGAACATGCTTTGAATAAGTAAGTGTATGAGACAATAGTTGAAAGTATTTCCATCTGTTTCAGTAGATATGGAAATATCAACATCCTTCATTCACCCCCCAGGCTTCCATCCTTTGTTCCCTTTGCATAGAAGCACTGGTTCAAAAAGCGCTCAGCAACGCGTCCTGCCTTTGATTACTTCAGAAAAGACGAGCCATCTCAGTGAGAGCGCAAAAACAAAAAGCTAAAAACTGCTAATCCTTTAAAAAAAAGTTATCAATAACATTCTGACACAACAGTTTTTGGTTCCATTGTATTTAAATAAATCTGCCAACAGAGAGTTTATAGAGTATTTATAACATTTCAGCAGCTTATTAGCAGCATTTAAGTTTTAAAGGAACAGTGTGGACCAGCATCTAGTGGTGAAGTTGCAGATTACAACTAACTAAATACCACTGGTGTCTATATTTGACGACCTGGGAATGAGAACGAGCTGTGAAGCATGTAGGAGAAACTAAAAAAAACTGCAAAAGTCCCTATTTACAGCCAGTGTTCGGTTTGTCCGTTCTGGGCTACTGTAGAAACACAACAGTTCCTATATTCAGGTGGGTCAGGTGACCTTTAAAAAGTCCAGTGTGTGACATTGAGGAGAATCTATAAATATATAAATATAATATTCACAGGTATGTTTTCATTAGTGTTTAATCACCTGAATTTAAGAATTATTGTTTTTATACCTTAAAATCAGTCGTGACATTTTGTCGGAGCCGGCGGAGGTGATGTACTGCGAGTTAAGTTGCTCTTGGTTTCAACTCGTCCGTATCAGGAAACAACGGCAGCTCGCCTGATCACACAGGATCTGGTATTCCAGATAAACAGTAAAATGTGTTTGTGAACAGATTTGAGGAGAGAAATAGTCAACAACAGAATCTGGATCCATATCTGATCAGCACTGTTTGACAGTTTGATCTGGGTTTGGTGCATTGAGCTGGACGGACTCACTGAGAATGAGCTGTCAATCACAAGGTAGCCCCGCCCTAAAGCATACCCTGCTTTATGATCTGTTTTACTCTAAATGGGACCATCAGTTACTAAATGAACATCATGCTGTATGGAAGAAGACTGAAACTAGAGACTGAGACCAGAAACTCATCAGGAAACTGTTCACTGAGCTCATTAATCAAGAGACAAGTTGGCTCATTTCTCCATAAGACTGAATGGTATCACTTTTTATTGCTGCCAGTGGAGCTGCCCCCTGCGCTGGCTTCACTTCACAGACCCAGAAGCTCTGTCCACTAATTACATACCGCCAGTGGTTTGGGCCCAAACAACATCTTGGTTATAATTCTTACATGGATAATCTGCTAAACATCTACAGACGAAGCAAACGCTACAAACTCTCTGTACACCATCTCAAGGTGGACTATCCAAATAATAAAGTGTTACCAAAGAGCTGTAAACAATGTGTTCTGGTGAAGCTAATACTTAATGTTGCTCGCTTAACGAAACACAAAGAGAGCAGCTGGAGTTTTGTGGTTTGAGGTCATTACACCGACATTACAAAGACTAATCTCTCAGTGTAGAAACTGCTTCAAATCAGAAGCAGTTGGTCCCAAATATTTACTAAAACACTCACAGACATAAAACGAATGCAGCAGGGGCAGACATGTTGCAACAGTAGCAACGGGTCACTGGCAAAATATGCAGGCTGAGTGTTCCTAAAGTCAAATTTAAAACACGTATAGGAATACAAATGTGTGCAGTGATACCTTCAATAATACACAGTGACCCCACCCCAGTGTGAGCTGAACACTGATGTCCATCCATGATGTCTCCCTATGAGCTGTAACGGCCTCACTGATGCTGTTCCCTCCCTCCAACAGTTACCCCGTTTACTTTTCCCCTACAGTGTGCTGGGAGGATTGAATGAGGTCACTGTGTGTGAGCTGCCAGATAATTCACATGGTGTACTGGAAAAAACACACTACAGCTTTTAAGACGACAGCGCCCCCTGCTGCCGCAGACTCAAACTGACCGGGGATAGGACACAGGGTTCCTGCAGGTTTCAGACCTTTTAAGATCATCAAGACAGCAATTTAAGACCTATTTTATGCCCATACTGGCAAGAAAATACGTAGGAAAAGTGACTTTATATACTTAACCTTAACTTTATGAATCCTTTCAATATTTAAGACCTGTCAAAATCATATTTACGACCAAACACAAGCCAGAAAACACATCTAAAAGCAATAAAAATGCAACTTTATACATGAATTTAGACATTTTTAAAGGCCTGAAATTCAGATTTTAGACTTTGGACAAAGTCTGAATCAAACACAGGTGAGATGTTGTCCTCCAGTTTTAATACAAGCTGCTTTGTCAAACATGTTCAAGGGCTTCAATCATTAATGCTGCAGTAAGTTTGTGCTGCATAAATTCAGTATCCAACCCATCATCACTGAGCCGCTTACAAAGAACTTTCTGCTTTAAAATGTTAAACCTTCTGTAGTTTTTAATGTGGTTTCAAATGATTCTGATGGCATTAGTGTTGGCTTTAGTCAGAGAATTTCTACACGTAAAATAAGATATAATTTTATAGCTTAGCCCTCCTAAATATAATACTGCCTTTTTCTAGTTGTTTCATATTATTATTATATTTAAACTAGTCCTTCATATACAATAAAATAAAGGTCAAACAGTTGAGGAGAAATGAGCAGGTTTGGAGCCTTCATTTGTTGTTTAGCTGCAAACAATAAAGATAATATAAAAATGTACAGAAATGGCATTTTTGCTAAAATATTTTATTTATATTATATATAAAATATTTTCAGATTATTACACTTTCTTGTAGCACTTTAAGGTTTCAGCGGCCCTACTATGAGATGAGATCACCAGCAGAGACTCTTATGTGTCTTAGGAGGTGTAATTATCACACAAGCAGTAAACTAGAAATCAAAATCAGGATTATATTTATGTAACGTTCATCCTGTTTCATTCAGTGGCTCTTTGTTGGCGTTCAGTACAGAAAGTCCCGGTCGAGATGAGCCTCATCCAGACCTCACCCAGCATGTTTTCAGCTCATTTGTTCGATTTCAGCAGCTCGCAGCTTGCAGAGTCGTCCGTCGTCACCGAGGTGGTTTTAAGAGCTGCTGCAGATCCTCCTGCGGCGCCAGCTGGTAGGGTAGCTGGAGCCTCTTGTTGACCTGGCTGCAGAGCGCCGGGCAGTGCTCCAGAAGCAGCTGACACACCTCCTGATGACCCCGTTCTGCAGCCTGCTCGAGCAGAACACAGCCAGTGGTTAACTGACGATCAGACTGTCTCTCCACACTGCTTTTATTATGTCGTCTACCTTATGTAAAGCGGATGCACCATCGTCATCACAGAGCGCTGGGTCTGCTCTGTGGCGCAGCAGGAGTCCGACCACGTCCAGATGGCCGCAGTAAGCCGATCGATGGAGCGGCGTGGCACCGCCCGGCGTCTGGGGGGACGCACAAGCTCCGTTCTCAAGAAGAAACTTGCACACGGCGTGATGCCCACTGCGACTGGCGTAGTGCTGAGCCAACACACACACACACACACACACACACACACAGGAGTTTAGTTACATGAGAACACTATAAAGCTTTAGTATAATGTATTGGCATCAAAATATACTGAAAGCACCAAAAGTTAAAAGGTAGTGGAGTACAATATTTCCATTATTTGGAGTATAAAGTAGCCTAAAATTAAAGTTCTAGCTGGAACAACAAAGGAAGAAACAGGGTCGGTCAGTTGGACTGATTGTAATTTATATTGATCCCAGTTTGATCACTGACTCACTGACAAGAGAGACTTTATCTTTAAACGTTAAAAGAAAATGAAAACTATAATTCCTTAATGTTAGTCTGGTTGGAGAAGCTTCTTTTAGTTTCTGTGCTGCTCAGATGTGAAACAAACTGCCAGAAGAACTGAGACTTGAAACAATGACGGCTCTTAAATCCAACCTAGAGACCTCCCTGTTTACCTTTGCTTTTAAATCAATTTTCTTTTAAATCAAATGTGTTTGTTAGTTTGTTTTATAGTTTTTATTCTGGGTGCTTTTGCTTGCTTGTTTCTTGGTTTGTTTGTGCTTTTTGTCTGGATTTTGTAAAGCACTTTGGGTTGTCTTCAGGTAAATTAAATGTCTTGTATAAATAAATCAGCTAAAGTGGCCTAATGTGCGTTTGTTGTGGGGCGTCCTCAACATGACAATGTTTGGGAACCCCTGCTCTAAACGGGGGGGGGGGGTTGCACAAGACCTTCTTAATTTTAAAGCGTGCTAGAAAACTTTAAAAAATATATACAAAACCAGGAAATAATCTGCTCAAAATTCATCTAAATCCCTCGCTCTACACAAACTTCCTGCAGTCAATATTTAAATATCCATAAAATATGTCACTTAAACAGGGGCTGTCAGTTTATTAAATGACAATAAAGGGAAAAGGAAACTCACCAGAGCTGTGTATCCAGCAGTGTCTCTCAGGTTGGGGTCTGTGCCCTTCTGGACCAAAGACAGGACCCTCTCTAGATCCCCGTCCATCGCAGCAGACCAGATCCCTGCAGAGGAAGAATAAAACCTTATTATAACACCAGGAATGACAAATCACTGCGAGCACAAACCATTAAATGAAAGATAAAACACTGCAACAGACTGACTGTGGAAACACAAATATGTTGCATGTTCTATAACTGCATTAGAAGTATTATTTAAAAGTGCAAACCTCGTTCAAACTCCATTTCATTCAAGGTCTGGTAGACACTGGGAGAGGCGACAGGGTGGGAGCAACAGGAGCAGTGCTGTCCATCAGCCATTGTGTTAAACTTGAGTTCAACTGGTGCAGAAATGCATTTAAACCTGAAGCTGAGTTTAAATGAACATTATGCTGTTTGACACTGCAGCTTGGTGCTGCATTACCGCCACCAACAGCTTCAAAACACAGTAAATACACAATAAATAAAGTTAAAAAGCGGATCAATGATTAACCGAGCGATAAATAATATGTTGTATTATATCTCACATACAAGTTGTACCTTATTAATTAGTCTTTAAGGTTATTTTTGTTGGAGAAAACGAAACAGCTTCTGGAGGCTTTGCAGCAGACATGCGTGCTTACGTAGGAACGTTCCGACCAATCACAGAGCTGCAGCCCGGCGGCACCCTTCAGGGTCCCCTCGGATTTGTGGCATTTATCCCAGATTTGTTCAGAAAAAACTGGTGGCAGCACATCATTTTGTTGCTGTAGCAGCATAATAATACAGCAACGGGTCATTTTATTATGTATTAAATATATTAGGTACACAACTAGTTACTAAGTAAAGTATTTTTCTTTCTGTAATATTACTGAAATGTAGTAGTTATTAGTTACACCACTAGTTACTTGGGAAAGTCATATTATTACTGTAATATTACTGAAATGTATTAGTAATAAGCTACACAACTAGTTATTGTGAAAAGTAATGTTATTACTGTAATATTAATCACTAGTAATGAGTGACAGCCCAACGCTGCAGGTCCCAGCATCATCGTACCCGTTTCTCCGAGAGCCCGCGAAGGCCTCATCAGTCTCGTGTTGTTGTCTGATGCAGCTAGCAACCAGGCTGACTCACCAAGCTCAGTGTTAGCTGTCCAAAAAAAAGCCTCATTATTGTAAAAACTGTAACAAACAAAGTCCTTCTAACCAAAACAGCGCCTAAAGAATGAGAAGAGTTACCTTATTTATTAACGGGACTTCTAAAAATGGCAAGGTGGGTAAAGATAGTCGCAGTGTGAGAGATTGGGCCGTTTGATTAAAGCTAACTGAAGCTAATGTCTCACAGTAATCAGATATTTCTACATTAAACATGAATTAAAGTTTATATTGTTAACTGTGTTAGACAGGAGGGACCTCAGTAGTTCAGTCCTTCAGATATCTATTCATAAATATATATATTTATTTATTTATATATGAATATAAATATAAATAAGCAGCTTTGGGACAATAATGATGTGTTTTTACTGCTAATTAAAAATATATCATTTCCATATTAAACGTTATTTCTTCTGCCTTGTTAAAAATAAAAGACCCATTTCTATTATTTAGTAAGGTGACATATTTTATACATCTTTCATTTTATATTCAAAGCTGCACAATGAACTCTGTAACAGCAAGAAATGTGTTTAAAACGAGTTCATTGAGCAGATTATTTCCATTTTATATCATTTTCTGTCTGTATTGTGTATTTTTTATCATTTATAACAATCATTCAGACTTAATGAGCTTCTTTTTTCTTGTCTGTGATGTTTCTTCTATTAGTTTTCTTCCCAGAAGTGAACCAAATACAGATATATATAATATATATAAAAGCCTACCTTGGTTTGTTCTCGCCACAACCGTTTTGAAAGTCAAATGAATGAAAACAGGCGAGTTTCAAACTAAACCCACGCTCAGGTTAATGTAGGCGATGTGAGCGAGGAGCTAAAATTCAAACTTTCCAGGACAACGTAGATTAATTCCGGGATATTTGGTCGTTTTAATCAGTTCCCAGGTGTTTCCATACATGGATACGTTGCATTATGGATCACAAATCATACTGGAAGGACCTGCCCCTTAAAAAAAAATCTGATTTCTGACTGAAAGCGAACTTTAACAACCTTCTTTTGCATCTTCCCTCTCCAGGTTGTAGCAGTATACGGGACCTTGTCCGACCTACTATCCGTAGCGAGCAATAAGTTAGGAATCAAAGCCTCCTGTTTGTACAACGGGAAGGGTGGTCTCATCGATGACATCGCCCTCATAAGGTAAGCTCACACGTTAACAATGAAACCTCTAGCTGAGCGCTTCTCAACTCATCCTGTGACTCGTGTGTGTGTGTGTGTGTGTGTTTCTAACAGAGATGACGACGTGCTGTATGTGTCCGAAGGAGATCCGTTTGTCGGTGAGTGCTGTTTATATCTGCAGGAGTCTCATCCACTGTCAGTGAGAGGGTGAACAAGGTTTCAAACTTTTGTCTTTGTTTGTGTCACAGACCCTCAACATGAAGCCAAGGTTACGTCTGATCAGCACGGAGCACACACCGATTGGCTGACCCTTAACATCGGTGGTCGACCCTTCACCACCACCAGGTATCTGTGGGACTTAAAGCTGCTTTAAAGGTCCAGTGGGGAACATTTAGGAGGATCTATTGGCAGAAAGGTAATATAAGGCTCACAGGTAGGTTTTTATTAGTGTGTAATCAGATGAATATAGGAATCGTTGTGTTCTTGTTACCTTAGAATGAGTTTTTATCTACAGATGTTTCTACAGTATCCCTTTGATGGGGAGGGCAAAGCAATATCCAACTGCACCCCTAGATGCCATTAAATCCTACACATTGAGCCTTTAATGCTTTTATAAAGGCCAGTGTCTATTTTCTACCGCACATGTATCAGATCGGTACTCGTATCAGCTGATATGCAAAGTCTGGGAAGGAAGAAATGGCATCAGAACATCTGTACTTAACTTATATTCAGGTGATTATACACAAATAAAAACATACCTATTAATATTATATTCTATTTCTGACAACAGATCCTCCTAAATGTTTCCCACTGGAGCTTTAATGAGTAGTAAAAACATTACAAAAGACTTAAATATTCTCTCCGTTATATGTGAACTCGTTGTCTTCCTCGCTGTCTCTTCAGGAGCACGTTGGTCAGCAAAGAGCCGGAGAGTATGCTCGCTCACATGTTTCGAGAGAAAGGTAAGTTCGTGGCTACCGAGCGGCGCAGTCGGTAGGCATGTCAGAGTCATTGAACGGCTGTTGTTAACCGCTGTGTTTCGCTCCAGACGTGTGGGGGAACAAGCGGGACCGGCACGGGGCTTACCTAATCGACCGCAGCCCCGAATACTTCGAGCCTATCCTCAACTATCTGAGACACGGCCAGCTCATTATCAATGAAGGCATAAACATACGAGGTGAGTCAGCCCGGTTCTCTCTGAAGAGGGTTTTTAAATAAAGCGCGGCGTCCTGATTGGAAGCTGAATGTCCCTCAATGTCTTCCAGGAGTCCTCGAGGAGGCTCGCTTCTTTGGAATCGAACAGCTGGCTGAACAGCTGGAAGTAGCAATCAAGGTAACATTGAACGCATCGTGACGAGAATTTGTTTTTTAATTTTCGTTTTCAGTTTAGTTCAGTTTCAAAGGTGCGTTTGCTTTGTTTCAGTGTTTTAATTGTTTAAAATGTTTAGTTTTTATTAGTTTCAGCATTATTTTTAGGTTTTTTTAATATTGGGGTATTTATTAGAGGTAAGAATTAAGTAGTTCAGAATAGATATTATAATACAAACTAATCCCTCTAGGATTTTTCTGGGATGGTTGCTGCCCAAGATTACAACTGCAACTTTCCAGAAAATAATGTTGTGATGTTTTCAGGCATTTTGTTGGCCTTTAAATCACACGAGGAAATGAAAAGTTACAAAAACAGTTGGGTTTTTTTGCGTGTAACTCATTAAAAATTGAAGGCAACTTGTTCTATTGAGATTAGAATCGTATCGTAGTAGTTTGCTGATGTATGGCTCAACATTTTGTGCGGGGGGGGGATACAATACACTATGATTGGTGACACTGGAGAGAAACCACAGTGATTGGTCAAAAGTTGGAAAATTGCAAGTTCTCACAAAATTAGTTGAATTTACACAAGCTGTTCCTGAAGTAAAACTTCCTGGAGGAACTGAAAAACACACTGACTCACAGTCATGTAATAAATATGCACCAGTGCCTTCTTTTATAGTTTTTATTTCAGTTAATTAAAATGTTTTTTCACACCTAGTTTGAGTTTTTAGTTTAGTTTCATACACAACTTTTAATCCTGAAGGTCTTCAGATTGCACTGTTAACATCTGAAGGCAATCTGATCAATTCCCTAGGAGGAGTCTGTTAAAATACAACTAATATTGCACATTCAATTCAACGTCTTATGAACATATATAATAACGCTGATGGTGTCTTTCTTTGACAACAGAACACGCAGCCACCCGAGGACCACTCTCCCATTTCCCGAAAGGAGTTTGTTCGTTTTCTGTTGGCGACGCCGACCAAGTCAGAGCTCCGCTGTCAGGTACAGATAATGAAATGGTTTTATTTACCCCGTCAGTTCACTATTATCAATCAGTTCAATGTTTAACTCTGTTCCTGTTTGCAGGGTCTTAATTTCAGTGGCGCCGATCTGTCCCGACTTGATTTGCGTTACATCAATTTCAAGATGGCTAACCTCAGCCGCTGCAATCTGACGCACGCCAACCTGTGCTGCTCCAATCTGGAGCGGGCCGATCTCTCCGGAGCCAACCTGGATGTAAGTCTGAAAACTGATTCCTGTGCACAGTATGAGCAGATCTCACTGTCGTCTGTCTGAGCTGTGTGCGGCATTGTTAATCTCTAATTAATAAACCTTTGGGTTTTTGGCCACCTCACGCCTGCTGCCCCCTCCTGCTGTGTGGAGGAAGGGCCATGCTGACACACACCTCCTCTCACAGTCACCTCATTAAAGAAATAACAATCCTCAATCTGGTAACTTCCCATAAACTTCCTGTAGGGAGTGTTTAGAGTGTGTTGGCTGCATGATGTTGTTTACTTGTGTATTTTGTCCTTAAAAAGGAAACAAAACAATGTGTTATTCTGTGTATAATCTCCTCTAACCTGCTTCTGACTGAACATCTGGCCTGGTGCCATAATGTTGATGTAGCGTGAAGTTCTGTCCAGAGTCTGCACGGGGGTATTTTATTTTGAAAATTGTCCGGTTTCTGTGTCTGACTTCCTGCCAATATGATCTCCTCTCCCCTGCTTCAGAGTCGTGTCGCGGCACTTCAGGTAGAATCTCTTGCGTTGTTTAGAGCGGGTGCGATCAGCATACCTCTCTCAGTACGACGTCCTGGAAGCTTCTTGTTGGCAGCATATAGTTAATTATTTATGATATTTTATATGAAACATTACATTGTAGACCACATTTACCTACCAGTACTGATCAATATCGTCTCTCTGGCAACACACAGCTCAACAAATTATCAAAATAATTAGACCAATGTGTGTTTTGTGACATGTTTAATGCGTTTTAGCTGGTTGAAAAGAGACTTTCAGACCGAATATCACCCAGTTTTCAACAAGCAGTCGATGTTGAAATCCTGGTTCGTGCTTGTTGGCTTGGTTTTAAGAAACAACAAGTTGAATTGAACCTACTGTAACGGCTACATATCCCAACATAGAACCAATACCAATATTCCTTCATATCCTTAGTACCTATTTTGCCACTATGGATGTGTCACATTGCATTAATAATGGTCTAAAAAGCTCTCTGAAAGTCTCAAAATGTCTTAAATGTAACCAGCTGAGACCCTGATTATGACCGCTTTCTATCTTTGCGTTGTCTTTTCGAAGGGCGCTAACTTACAAGGGGTGAAGATGCTGTGTTCCAACGCCGAGGGAGCCTCTCTCAAAGGATGCAACTTTGAAGATCCGTCTGGACTGAAGGCCAACCTGGAAGGTTAATCCATCACAGCTCCTCAGCAACGTGCAGGCGGATTCACATTTGTTTTAACCAAATGTTTTTTGTCATCAGGTGCTAACCTGAAAGGGGTTGACATGGAAGGAAGCCAGATGACGGGTATCAACCTGCGTGTGGCCACTCTGAAAAATGCAAAGCTGAAGAATTGTAACCTGCGGGGAGCCACTTTAGCAGGGACCGATCTGGAGGTGAGTTAGTGCTGTCAGAAGGGATTATCTCTGGAAACGTTCGTGTTGACTCAGCTGCAGTCTTTCTGGAGCCAAAGAGGAAGAAACAATGCAGATCTGAACGCATTGTTTTATAGATTAATGTACTGTATAAGTCTGCTGCATCCCAGATCTTTTGCCACAGTAACTTTACGTCTGATAGCACAGCAGCAGGAACTTCCCCTGGACATAAATACATAAGCACTTAACACAGTGAAATCTTTCTTCATCTTTATTGGAATAAAATGCATTTGGTTGTAAATAAAAGTGTTGGTTTTGCCTGACTGTAAGATTAAACTTTGCCTTGTGTTTAAAGTAGAGGACTATTTATATAGTGAATGAATAGAAAATTTCATCCAAGTAATCAGCAACAAATAATGTTTTAAATCTCATCAATAACCTTTAAATAAACATTACAGTTACATTGCAGGCTTGTTTTTAATCCTCCTGCCTCTCTCTGTTCTGTCTCTGCTGCCTGTTTGAAGAACTGTGATCTGTCCGGCTGCGATCTACAAGAAGCCAACCTGAGAGGCTCCAACGTGAAAGGAGCCATTTTCGAAGAGATGCTGACCCCGCTGCACATGTCACAGAGCGTCAGATAACTCTGCACGCTCCTACAAGTCCAGTGTGAAACCCCAGCTGGCTTCTTTATCGCTCTTTTCCTCCAGTATATCCCCCCCTTCCTTACTTACAATCTCTCATTGCCTGTCTGCAGCACAGGTAGTTGTATGCACATCCCTGACATTCCACCTATATTGAGTTAGCTTTAAATATCTTGCACTAGAATTTATTCAGGGTTGTCTCTGTATGTTTGTATGGTAGGAAATGTTCAGCTGCGTATATCACCAAAACAAATAATGTTCCTAGTGTGTGTACATGTTGTTCTGGATGTAATCCAATGACTATACTCATGTATTGTTTTTATTATAATTTATATTCACTTTATACTACGTGGGAGTCAGATTGTCTGCGTGCGGTGACGTTCAGCACTGAGCTTCACTGAGTGCTGCTGTAGCAGAAACTGAAGGGTCACTCACCAATAACTGTGTCATTATATATTCCTCTTTTGAGTGTGTAACTTAATTTTGCTGGATTCAACCTATTCTAAAGGAAGCAATGCAAGCCAAAGCCATAACAATAGCACAGTCTAAGAGGCTGAAAGTGCTGTTAGTGCACCACGAAACTATGCGACGGGCTACTTCTAAACACAGCTTGGGTATGCAATACGTAATTTACAGCTGTGACGCGTCTCCTTTCCTACTTTTAATTATTGTGTTCTTAAAAAGCTTTTTCCTTTTTTGGTTTTGTGAATCTACCTCTTTTTTTAATCCGGTGTGCGAGCGATCCGCGGTTGCATGCGTTTGACTGTGGCGCCGCTTTATTGTGTTAATGTTGGTGTCATTCGTTATTCTTCCAGTTGTGAGAAAATAATCAAACCTGGTTTGCTTTGACAGTAGGGCTGCAACTGAGGGTTATTTTCATTATCTGTTGGTAATTTCCTCGATTGATCGTCCCCCAAAGCTTGCACTGACGTCCTCTAATATCTTGTTTTGTCCACAACCCAAAGATATATTCCGTTTACTGTCATAGAGGACTTTAAAACAGAAGCTATTCACATTTAAGAAGCTGAAATTAGACGTTTTTGTCTTTAAAAATGACCCAAAATGATTCATCGATCGATGAATTGACCGATGGTTGCAGCTCTATTGAGCAGGAAGCCGTTTTCACGTGTTCATGTCTTTAAAGTGGGTTTGCCTGGAAACATACTCCCATGTATTGAAGTCTATCACTTAATCATGCTTTGAACTTATTTGCACACGTATACTTGTAACATGTTATACCTTTTACACCAAAAAACGTTTGGTGCTTGTAATCTTACGTAAATCAAATCCAGTGTCTCCAAAACTTCCACGAGAGTCACCGTTACGAGTCTTCAGTCCTCTACTGGACGGCGTCCGTTTGCATGTGTGAAGAGCTGCACTCGACTCTAAAGCTGTAGCTCAAAGCTGCTCCGATGCAATACTATTCACTCAGTTTAACAGTAGGTACCCGGCCTGTGAGAGCGAGGGATGAAGGCAATCATATTTCAGCTTGTGCGTGAAAAGTCGACGGTTATTTATTTTGATACATCTCACTGAACGCAATATGAGGTGAGGGTTGCTTTGTGTTTGAGACGGGGGGCGGTGTAGGTCTCCCCATCTATGATTATTGCACTCGACCATGGAAATATATTTCCATAAATGACTGTTATAAATAAACTGCTATGAAGAAGAAGAAGTCTTTGTCATTTGATTTTTAATCATTTGTTTTGTCTCAGTTGTTAATGAAAGAGTGAATCGTGTGTTTCCACAGTTTTCTAATCTATTGAGGTGAATCTTTTCTTTTTACTGGTGAATTAAGATGAGATTAATTAAATTATTGTTATTATTATAAATATTATGAATATTCTTTTGTACATTATATTTTGGGGTCATCCGTCCCATTCTTGTCAACATGACATCTCAGGAACGCATCGAGGGAATTCCTTAAAATCTGGTACAAACATCCACTTCAGAGGTTCCCAACCTGGGGGTCGGGACCTTCCCTAGGGGTCGCCAAGCTTTGTGGATTTTAAGATGTGTCAGGAAAGTTTTTTACAAGGAAAACAGGAGGTCAGTAGCTCAGCATTTCATTCAGTTCTATGTAGAGAACTAAATGAAATGATTGTTTTTAAAGTTATTAAATGAATGATCTGAAGTCTGAAGAGCTGAACACAAACTTTATTCACTCTGATAAACAGCCTCGTTCTATATTAGAGAAGTTCAAACAGCCAAACAGCTGATAGAAAAATGAGACTGAATTAGTCAAAAAAAGAAGCTTATTAAGTATATATGATTGTTACAATACATAATACAGACAGAGAATTACATAAAAATAGGAAGAAAACCCATCTCTGATCAACCTCTCTCAAAATTCATCCAAATCTCTGGTTTTACACAAACTTTCTGCAGTTACTGAGTTCACTGTTTGGGTTCATTGAACAGTTCATCAGCTGTTGTTGTTATACACTGAATATAATATAACACTTAATCAGTTTACGACAATAGAAAATGGGTCCCTTAAGGGGAAAGGTGGGAACCAGTGGTCCACTCGGACTCATGGATAAACTGATTAGATTTTAGTGGTTAAAGATCTTTTCTTTTGACCTGTGACGTTAATATTCAGTGTTTTTTGGATCTATTGTGATTACACAGAAATGAGAATAAATCTACCAGATGAGGGCAGCAGACTCAGAGGCTGCTGTTTCAAGAAGCGGAGCACAAAGGAGGCAGAGAAGTTCAAATAAACCGGCTGTAACAACGTCATAAAAGTGCCCGAAATAGCAGAAAATGGTCGATGCTCCGTGGCCAAAGCTCGTCCCACGTAACCTGTTCACACACCATGTGTAATCTTTTAAAGCAGCTCTGCGGGTCGCCAGTAAAGTGTTGCTTAATCCCACTCTGTGACCCCCCTGTAGTGAAGTGTTAGAGGAAGCATAGGCTTATATAAACCTCTGGAAATAAGCAGATTCACAGAGGACAGCAGAATATATCAGAGAGAAGGTAAAGACCTCAGTGAGTGGTGTCAGTGCGGAGAACTGAGGCAGTGAAGGTCAGTAATGTGCTTTTATGTGCTACATGAAGCTCTTTGTCTCCTCAGAATGGCTGCACAAACCTTCGCACTGCGGCTGCTGCTGGTGGGGACGCTGCTGGGGACACTGCTGGGGCAGGGCTGCTGCCAGCACTGGTCCTATGGACTGAGTCCAGGAGGGAAGAGGGAACTGGACGGCCTCTCCGAGACACTGGGCAATGTGAGCCTTCTCCTCTTTCCTCTTGCACAAATGTGATGGTTTTAGAACTGTTTAAAAAGCCTGAAAGCATCTTTCTTTTATCTGTTGTATGACTAAATAACCACGAGATATTGAAGGCTTTTTAAATCCTCTGACTGCAGACGTGGTGGAGAGTTTCTGTAACTTTACCTCCTGATGGTGTTCAGTGGCTATGCATTCAGTTGACAGCAGGGCCGTTTCCAGAAGTCGGGGGTGCCACTGGCCACCCCTGAAATCTGATTGGCCACCCTTATTAACCTTTCCTTTTTTTAAAGCTGTGATTAAGATACTGCGTCATATGAAACTAGATGACCTAACACATCAATTGGTACAGACCAGGGGGGTAAATAAGGCTTCAAAGTTGGGCTAAAGACCTCTGACCTCGAGATATCTGAATGAAGATGGGTTGTATGGTTCCCCACAAGCCTCCCCTTTACAGACACTTCATGCTAATACAATGCTTGTGGTATAAATGTGTTATTTTAGTGAATATTTAAATATTTCTGCAGACTGGGGTCCATAAACAGTGTTGGAATGACATAAATTGGGAATGAGTGGAAAGCTGAGACACACACTTCAGTGCCCCCCTTGTGCCACCCCCGGTTGTATGTACGATTGAACTTGATCAATTGAATTTGAGGAAACAAGAGGGGCAACGTTACTGCAGTGCTTAGTGTACGTTACATAAGTCATTTTCACTAACTGGATCTCGGCTAGCGAGCTGGGCCGTGTGCTTGCTGCTACCATATAGCTCATCGTGGTTCCTGTTAACGGCTGCAGTCACACCCGTCTCCCTTTCTTCACACCCGAGCAATGTGCAGTATTTTGGCATTATGTTTTCTTTCTCTCCAGCAGATAGTCGGGAGCTTCCCACACGTGGCGACGCCCTGCAGAGTTTTAGGTTGTGCAGAGGAATCACCTTTCCCCAAAATATACAGAATGAAAGGATTCCTTGTAAGTTTTATCTGCTTTCTGTTTGTCAGTGCTGTTTATTTATTCATGGCTCGTCTTTGATTTACTGTCAGGACATCGTGCTTCTGATAGAGTTTGAATTTATTCTCACAGATTGAATCTCTGGTTCTGTTTCAGGACGCAGTCACTGACAGGGAGAACGGACCCAGAACGTATAAGAAATGATCTTTGATTCTACAATAAATGATTATATAAGCATATAAGTGGTTGTGGTTATTGCGTGAGAAATCCAAGCTGCAGACGAAGGAGAAGAGAGGTTAGACTTTTTGATCAATAAACCAAAATATACCCCGGCACACTGCTCTGAATGAAAAAGCCTTTAATTACTGGCTGCTTCAGGGTTTCAGGGGGATTTTTGGGGGATTGTTGTGGACTAAAATGCCTGGCAGCTATTTTTTAAAGATTGCAATACATGTTGCAATATTTGGAGGCATTTCTTCCAAAGAAAATCTGATTTTTTTGTGTTATAATTTATTAATAATCAAAGTTCTGAGAATAAACAAAAACAAGTGTAAAACCACGGTAATATTCTGGCAGCTGAGGCACCAAACAAATACTGGAAAATAACAAAATACAGTAATTATAATTAAAATGCAGGTTTTCATTTTATATTAAAGCTTATGTAATTTTTGGGCTTTTTAATGTTTAATTAAAGATATTTACACTGTAAACCACTGAATTGAGTTATAAATACAAGCAAACGCAAATAATCAGGCTTAAATTTACAGCAGAGTGCTGTTATTATTTATTTTTTCTTATTTAAACTTGAATTTTAAAAGTTATAGAACTGTAATAAAAGTAATTATCTGTGTAATTACAGTAATTACTGCTGATTTCACTGATAAAAACTGTATTCTGACAGTTTACCGACAGCTTATACACTGATAAACAACATTTATTCAATGTTTTCATTGTGAAAACTTCCATAATTATACAAGATATCTCTCCACCTTCTCTATTTTTTCCGTCCAGTTTTCCTTCCTCTCCACCTCCGTCTCTTCCTCTCATCCTTACCTTCCTCCTTGTCTTCACGTCTCTCATCTGTCTTCCTTTACCTCTCCAACCGTCCTCTCCACCTCACATCCACCCTCTTCTGCTTCATCGTCCCTCTCTCCTTCCTCCTTGTTCCTTTACATCTCCACCCTTTTTGTCTTTCTTCCTCCTTCCTTAGAGATGGCACTCTCTCATCCAGCTGCTTTCTCCTCCTTCCCTTCCTCCTCCTTATTTTTATTTATTGATGCACAATGTTTTACATGTTGTATAACCCTCCTCTTCACTCATGTGTCGTCACATTTTGAATCCATTAATTGTTTTTTGCCTGCAAGGTAACTGAAATGTTTAAATAAAACAATATGTAAATACTTAACTTACTTTTGCTTTGTATTAACAGCACAACATGACATTTTTTGAGTTTCCATTGACAATCTATTAATATAATACATCTGTGGTAACCAATCTTTTTCCTTAAGGGACCTTTTCTATCATTAAAAACTCAGTGACATATTTTTGTGATATTTCATATTATATTCAAAACTGTACAATGAACCCAAACAGTGAACTCAGTAACTGCAGAAAGTTTGTGTAAAACCAGAGATTTGGATGAATTCTGAGCAGATTATTTCCTGTTTAGGAAACTTTTTATACAATCATCTGCCTGTATTATGTATTTAACAATTTCAATCATTCATTCTTAATAGGCTTCTTGTTTGTGTTTGAACAAATTCAGTGTTTCCTTATCCCTGCCAATTTACTTTACATTTACTTTTCTTCACAGAAGTACTGAGATAGATCACCAATACTTGAAACACTGCACACATTTAAGTTCATTCAAAACAGTTATTACTTCAACAGTTCATTTTTTTACGGACATTTTTTGGAGGATTAAGTTGTGTTAACTTACTTCTGTGTTGAATATTTTTCTCTCAATTTTATCTTGAAAATAAGGAAATAGGGGTAGTGAAGAGGCTGCAGCACTCCCTAAAATCCAGCATAATGGAAACTATTAGTTCATAAAAATGTTCAAACTTCTAATCACTGACAGGAAAGAGGTTCAGCCTTGTTTTTTATCCGTTTTATCTGCAAAGAAAATGTTGTTAATAACTATTAAATAGGCTACAAATTATGTAGAACCATGAATGTCATGCAGTTGGTATTTAGTATGACGTCATTATAAAGACTTTCTCTCAGAGCTCCAAACTCTGACTGACTTCCATCCTCCCTGATTTTGGGCTCAGCCACCAGATGGCACCAGAAAACAACAGGAAGCTTCATCCTTTAAGTTTATACTCCTTTATTGTTATAATACTTTAGTGCTTGTCTGATTCCCAAAATAATCTGCCATAAAATCCAAAATTTTGCAGACAATCTCTCAGACTGCTGCTGAGACTTTGCAGTATTTCCCATCAGGCTGCATCAGTCAACACCGTAATATACTGTAATTTACTGTATTTTATTGTGTTTGCTCAGCATGTGAACATGTGTCTGATGCCAATTTATTGTATTGTAATAGCTCATTGCTTGCTCGGCTTGTTTCGCGTACACTCCACAATCTCCTCTGGATTATAAAAGTGCTTATTGATGGTTGGACGGGCAACATGAAAATGATTTGACCAGGCGACACATGTTTGCCAACAGTGTATGGAATTTAAACAAACTGAATAACAAATCGAAGTTCATTCATCATGGAGATTTGACAGTGATACAACAGCCTGTAATATCCTGCTGCTCACGCTCTTATCTCCAGTGGAAAGTGTGTTTTTCAAAGTAGTTCAATCTGTCTGTCACTCCGCTGTTACTCAGCAAACACACAGGACAGAAAATCACTTCCGTGGGTTTCATCTTGTTGGTGAGACTTTTTGTTGAACACACACACGACGCCATATGGGTCAAGTATTGTCCGTCACTGAAAGTGATTTGATAAGGGATGGATATACAAAAAAAAAAAGGCTAGCAGCACAACAGGACATAAAATATTTACTCAAGATCCGATACCATTGTGAACACTAAACTCTCAGCGTCCATCTACCCTCCATTTTAAAATTAAAGACATCATATCAGAGACATTTTTCTGGCGGCAAAGAACATTATTTACTTTATTTTAAAGGTGGACACATCAAGGCAGCCCTATTAAAGAATACATTTAGAGTAAAAGGTGGAGGGGTATGGTGACTTCAGCACTATAATCAAGAAAATACCTGCCAGAGACCCCGCTGAGCACTGCACTCCCACAGCTGCGAGGTCCTCCAGGTTGCTTCTAATTAGTCCCACTGAGACTGGTCTGAAGCTGATTGGACTAATAAAGGAGAACATGGGGCCGTAACCTTGGAGCCGATAAATAAATGCTGTGTGGTTAATGTATGCGGACTCTGCGAGGACGAATCAACAGTTTGTTAACAGCAGAGTTTTGCACAGCTGGGAAAACACAGTTAATTATTCTTTAAAGGTGGTTTCCAGCCCTTTTCCTCAACCCTTTTCCTCATTTAGTGAACTGAAGAACTGCTTAAGGGACATATTTAATTGATATATTTAATATTATATTCAAAACTGTACAATGAACCCAACAGTGAACTCAGTAACTGCAGGAAGTTTGTGTAAAACGAGTGATTTGGATGAATTTTGAGCAGATTATTTCCTGTTTAGGGAACTTTTTATACAATTCTCAGTCTGTATTATGTCTTTTTTATCAATCATACAGACTTAATAAGTTTCTTTTTTGTCAAATTCAGTGTTTGCTTGTCCCTGGCACTTAGCCTTTGTTCTATTAAACAATGTACTTTACATTTACTTTAGTTTACTTTACTTAAGTGAACCAAATGCTTTCTAGCAACTTAAAAATTGTTCAAACTGATCACATCAAAATATTTAAGTAACACAAACTCAATTTTGTAAATTAAAAAAAACATTCTTGATCAAGTAATTTTAAATTTAAATAAATTTAAGTGACACTGGCTTTATTTTGTAATTTTCTGTACAGTGAAAACAAAATACCTAATAAAAAGTACTTCAGGAATGTTGCTGTAACTGTAACTTAAAATGACCAGTAAAAGCTGCTTAATCAAGAGTTTTGTTTAAATTTAAGTTAATGTTACTTATTTTTTTTGATGTCGTCTGCACCAACAATTATTTATTATGAGTTAAAATAACGTCTAATAAATATCCTAATAATTTCTTTCTCAGCTCTGATTGGTTGTTTTCGTTCGGGGCCGGTAGATTCTTACAAATACCATTAGGGGCTCTAGAACGAGCCGGAGGAACCTGATCTCTGCTCATGTTCTACAGTCAGGATGTAGTGAATATTTCAGCAAATATGACAAAAAGTTATTATTAAAAAAAAAGTTACCTACTGCAGCTTTAAAGCTACCCAGCAGATATGCAACCTTGATCAAAGTAAGGAGAAAAATAGGTGAAAAATGGACAGATTTAATAACGATAATAAACAATTACATATCTGTCATCAGCTGTAGTTTTGAGAAGAGGAAGACTTTAATTAGAGTTTTAGTGTTCAGAGCAGACGGTTGTCTCTTGTTATATTGTATTTATCAAATTATATCAGATTTTGTGGCTGTGCACCCGGTGGTAACCCTGAAACAACAGAGCGCCCCCCACTGTGTAACAAATCCCAGTTTAACACAATTAATCCCAAAAAGTGAAGTGTGAAACTGACAGTTTTACATCAGGGTTATATGTGACTATTCCTCCACCAGAACCAGTCATTTCCAAAAGTCTCCATTTGTTGCTGCTTTCAGTAAAGACATAATCCGGCACTTAATCCTCAAGTAAAAGGACAAATTGTCGCTTTTGTACAGCTTAAAGAAATTAGATATAATGTGCTCGCTAATTAGAGAGCTTTAGAGGTGTTGGTAGGCGGATTATGTTACCTTCAGACAGCTGTCGCCCCCTGTTTCCAGTGTTTATGCAAAGCAAACCACCTCCTGGCTCCAGCCTCATATACGCTGTATACAGACAGTGTGAGTGGTGTCAATCCTTTCATTTAACGTTTGATAAGAAAGTGCATACTTTCCAATTTGAATAACGTCTTTCTTTATGGGGTCCTAGTAAGCTATGTCAGTAAAATGACACACCTAAATGGAACACAGCCATCCTTCAGGTTATTACACCTGTTCCTTTCCAGATATGATGTGTCAAAATAAAAGTCCCCGCCAAAAAAGTCCTTATTACTTTACAGTGAGAGCTTAATTACACCACCCTGATAAGCCGAGTGAAAATGAAAGGAGCTTTCTTTGTCGTCCTTCTTTTCAAGCGGGAGAGGTCCATCTGCCTGAGCTGGTTCCACCGAAACTGCTTCGCCCTGGCGTCTCTCCTCTGTCAGTGTTTAATAAAGTGCCTCTAATAGCTCGGCGCTCTGTGTCAGCTTGAAGGAAACCCATTGAAAACCCTTGAGGAAACTGTAACCAGGCAACTAAAACAGGCTGTGGTCTTACCTATTTTCCTCTGACCAAAGAAAATGGAAGGTCAGGAGCAGAGGCCACATCCTAAATGATCTATCTATCTATCTATCTATCTATCTATCTATCTATCTATCTATCTATCTATCTATCTATCTGTGCTGATTTTCAGATCACATTTTCTTTGTGCGAAGGCTGCACATTGCTTGCAACGACAAAAACGATCCTCAGGAAACTGGCTGACACCAATCAGGGGGGTTGCTATTCCCGGCTGTCAAGTCTGCTCGTGTTATGCAAGACAAAATATGTGTGTGTTCGTGTGTGTGTGTGTGTGTGTGTGTGTGTGTGTGTGTGTGTGTGTGTGTGTGTGTGTGTATTAATACTACTGTAGACACAGGAAACTGAGGCCCAGATATATCTTCCAGTAGCCTAGACAATGGATATTTCTAGATTTACTTCAAAAGCGGGAACTGTTTGTTGCATTGAATCCATCTGGTAAGGATTACGTGTGTGTGCAACCCAGGTCTGGCTGACACAACAGTCATGCTTGGTTATGATATCCAAAAGCTAGATACAAAAAAGAAAAAGAAAACCCCCTCGCTGATATGATGAATCAGGAAGCGCCCGCTGCAAAGCAGAACCATTTGAGGCAATTTAACAGAAAGATAAGAGAGCAAGGAAAAAACGTCGCCTGGGCTGATCTACGTGTTTGACCCTCCGATGAGCTACCTGTCTGTTTCAATGCGCTCTACAGATGTTGGTATGTATAATAACATGATTAAGATTCCAGAGGCAGCAGTCCGACTCCCTCTGACCTTTTCATCTGCCAAAACAAGAAGATTAGTTCCTTCTCACAAGGGATCAAAGGGGCACAAGGCCAATGGCTTTGTCTGGCATCACTGTATATAGGATTTTAGATTGAAAGATTATTTTAATGCATATCTATGTTGTCACATCTTATATAGAGTTTGACAATCCCTCAGGCTCAGCAGATTCACATTATAGATCCTGTGCACATCTTTTAACATTTTGCTGCCTCTTGATCTTTAGAAGTGCTGGCCGGGAAGACGGATTCAAACATCAAGGAAGGACTTTGAGCATTAAAAGCCCTAATTATTACGGGAACAAAGCAAAACAAGATAAATGATGCCCTATCTTACAGTACTAAGGAAGGCAAAAACTGTGGCTGCAGAGAATTTAAACGCTCAAAACAACAGCTTGGGGAATACTGCGGCCAACTATGTAGTTCGTGTTGTTCCTGTGATTCCTGTGCTTATATGAGAGTCTCTCTAAATTAAAATGCAGGGAGCCAAGATGCTAATCTTTCTGGAACTGCTCCACCGACAAGGAGAGTCTGGCCCCGTGTACTCATTAAGTGTCTTCAGCTGAGCTTCATTTCATAGTGCAGTTATGTGCCCATAGCCCCTTAACAGCTACTTGGGTAACAATGTAAGACGGCATCATTTGAAGTTTCACTCGTTGTCAAGAGTCGCTGGAGTACGTCAGCTCCTCCGGCATCTTGGGTCTTTTCTTCCAAACAAAATGAACACTGCTGCTTCATTCGGGGGTGTTTTAAAATGAAAGGCAGGTGAGAGGAAGGGAATATAGGAGAGAGACAGCGTGTAAAGGTCGGCTCAGGCCGAGGTAGCGGAAGCAAACAGTCAATTATGTCGACAAGGCCCTCTGAGAGCTCTCTTAAGGGCTAAACTGCCCTTGGAAAACAACTTGGCAGGTTGTGTGAGAGTCGGATGCAGGTTCAGCTTTCCGTGAGGTGTAAAAACATCCTGCACTTGACCTCCGGACATGATCATCACGGCTAAAATACCCCTGACAGCAACAATCTTACCCTCTTCGTCTCTCTTAGTTGATGTACTTTGAGATGACTGCAACTGTGGTTGGAGCAGTAAACAGTTTTTTTTTGCCCCCTCCCCAAGCTGTTTAACATCTAAGGCACCAAACACAACACTGATTAATTCAACACTACAAGCACATCTGAAATGTGTTGTGATCTCAGACTTCCCCCTGAATAATGCACGCAGAGGCAGCACACTGAATTTGACCTCAGAAAGAAAAGACGATTTTAAAATATTGACAGTTTCGACTGGGGCGGATCTAGAGGGGTAAAGTAAGAGTGCAGTGCCACCACAGTTTGGTTTCAAATGCTTAGATTCATTTGAAAAATAACGTGTTAAAAAACAAAAATGAACACATATAATTTAATGATCCGTTGCAGGGATGTGCACAATTAGTCGACTAATCAATTAAACGTTCGCTAGTCGGCACCAGTCGGTTAAACTAATATTTTATTCATGTACAACATTGGTTAACTGTTGCATATAAGATGTTACACAGCCACCCGCCACTGGTCGTGGATGCAGGCGGCATGTAAACCAGTGAGAGTATTTATAATGGACTTAAACCTTCATTCTATGTAATGGCCAGCAGGGGGCAGCTCCAGTGGCTGCAATAAAACACCAATAACACGAAGTCTTATGGAGAAATGAGCTGACTTCTCTCTTGATTTATTATCTCAGTAAACACTTTCCTAATGAGTTTATGGTCTCAGTCTCTAGTTTCTTCTTCCATACAGCATCATGTTCATTTAGTAAGTTATGGTCCCATTTAGAGTAAAACAGACGATAAAGTAAGGTATGCTTTAGGGCGTGGGACAATGATGACATCTTGTAAAAACCAGCACTTTAAACAGGCGTATAACCGCTGGACCGGCGCGATAACCACATTCATCACAGGCATGCAGACGTTAACCTGCAAGCAGAGCAGGCTGCTGGATCGGACAAATACCTTCTTTTATTGGTCTGCAGTTGAATTTTAAATCTGTTGTCTCATCTGTTTAACTTTTAACCTTTAAAATACGATGTGGTTATTGAAGAAATGGCTCTTAAATACAAGCAGCAGTTTCTCAGATAATGTTTAACCTTATCAATTAGTTAATTAATTGTTTTATTATCTCCCAGACTAGTCTTTATTTAATTAAATTGACTGGGAAATTAGTTGTTAGGAACATCCCTAGTTATGGCCACATTTTAGACTAAATGGTCGATAGAAAAATGTCTCAAGATTCAGAATAAAATAAAATAAATTAACATTTTATTGATTTGTAATGCCTCCTTTTTATATAGATTTTTCGATTCAGTACTTTACAATGTGCCACAAGTAAGTTAAGATATCTTCATTTTGGGGGTTTTTCAAGCAAATATTGATTAAACCAGCATTCCTGCACACCACATACTACAACCGTGACAAGTGGTGACGGACTCATGTGTAAACACATCAGTAATCTCCGGGGAACTAGAATCCTACACGGTTTCCTAAAGTGGAAATGTAGTGCAGTCTGGTCTCAATGTGACACTTTCCCTTTAACAGGAGACTTGGGACCAATCAATTATGTGGTAAAAGCTGAGAATGACGTGGGTGCATTGATCTGCGAGGTGACAGAATCAGGATATTCTGTGTTTAACACACACTCAGAGAAACATTTACCAAACAGAAACAACAAAAAGAAAAAGCAGATCGCGAGAATATTACAACATAGACGTTACCATTAAAGATAATAGTAAATGTTTTAATTCAGTTCAATACCACAAAGAGAAGTGACTAACATTGTTTCCTAGCAGATATCTGTTATGCTACACAGTGCTCTTTATTCCCAACCACAGACTATAACCGTGTCACATCTTTTACAGGCCGTACATGTATTTAGTAACGTTATATACAGCAGCTCTCAAAGTCCCTTTACAGCCACTTTTATTTTGTTTTATGGCACTTGATATATAGCTATTGTATGGCACATTTTATGAGAATAAGCATCCCACACCCACAATATACTGGAGCGCAGACCTTGGCAGACAGCGGGAAACGTATGAAGCTCTTGCCAAGGTTCTGTGTCAAAAGATCATTACATTGTTTGTGGTGACTTTAGGTAATAAGAAGTACATTAAGATGATGCTAGTAAATCGTCTGAATGAACGCCTGCAGCCACATTTAACTCACTAATGTTCCCTCCTTCGGTTATGTAACAAGCTACTCTGCTGATAATCATTAACACGCCACAGGTCACAATCCCTTAATATTTTTATCAATACTAGTAACATAAAACAGCAAAAATTAAACGAATTAATACTCTCTGGTGGTCCCATTGCTCACATTTACAGCAGGTGAAAGTGTGAAAAGTAAAACCCCAAACAGCTCATTTGAAAATGACTTCTGAGTAGATCCCAGTGCTTTGGAAAGAAAACATGACTAACCAGATTAAATGCTGTCTCTTCGTTCGTTTTGTGCCCACAGCACACAGGGAATGGACTATACAGGCTATACAGAGTGCTTGTGTGAAGCGCGTTCAGGCGTCCAACAATACTTAAACTTGTCCAACCTTTGCACCGTCATTTTGTTATCTCCTTCCTCTTACATGTGAACTCATATTGAATCGAGGGCACAACGCCATGCTGGGTAAGTGTCTTTAGCCGACTCCCTCCAGACCGCTATTGTGAGTTTTATAACTTTGTAAATGTCAACCTTGCTTTTAGATGCAACGAAGCAAGAAAAGCTTCGGAGGATGACACAATGAGGGCGGAGGAGGCCCCAGTAGTTTCTTTGTCTTTGACTGAAAAGGCTTGGATCTAATTATTGATGCTGATAGATCCATTGCTCAAGATTGACCCCTTGGTGACCTCGGTGCTGACAGTTGAGAGAGGGACGCTCTCGTACCTCTCTACCACCCCCCAGCAGCGGCAACGCAACAGCGTGGACTTGAGCTGTTTCTGGAAATTGCTGTTGAGGAAGCCGTAGATGATGGGGTTGACGCAGGTGGACGCCATGGCGGTGAGGTGGCAGAATGAGAAGATGAAGTCGTGGCCACAGGACGGGATGGCCTCGTGGTTCCAGTCAAACACCGTGTTGAAGACGTTGAGAGGGAGCCAGGAGAGGGCGAACGCCACCACGATGGAGATCAACATGGCGTTGATCCTCGTGGAGCCCTTGTTTTTCTTTTCGGTGGTGTTCCTGCCGCGCTCCACCATGTCCTTCCTCCTCCTCAGGCGCAGGTAGATGTGCAGGTAGCAGACCATGATGAGGGCGAGAGGGAGGAAGTATTGGAAGACGAGCAGGGAGGTGGTGTAAGCTCGCCGCTCTTCGACCGTCGGCCACCGCTCCATACAAATGAGGTGGTCGCTGCCCGGGAAGGGGATGCTCAGGTTCTGAAAAGGCAAAGTGAGCACGCTGTACGAGAGGAAAGGCACCGAGATTAAGCAGGCCACGATCCAGGTGACAGCCACGGCCAAGTAGGACTGGCCCACCAAAGGTTTCCATCCAGTCGGGTGGACAATGAGCTGGTAGCGCTCCATGGCGATGAGGACGAGGGAGAAGATGGACACGGTGATTGATATACACTGGATGAAGGGCGTGAGCTTACAGAGAGCGTCTCCCAGGATCCAGCGGTCCATCAGGGTGTAGATAATCGTAACCGGCAGGCACACGATGCACATGAGGATGTCGGAGCAGGACAGGTTGACGATGAAGATGTTGGTGACGTTGCGCATCTCCTTGTGCCGCGTGATTACAAACACGAGGCAAGAGTTCCCGATGAGACCGACCGCCATCACCGTACTGTAAGCGACGATGAGAAACGTGGTGCCACTCACCGAGAGCGAGCAGTCCTCTGCGAAGTCCCACGGTATCTCTTTCCACAGCGCCTGGTTGTGATTGGCGTGCAGCTCCATGGCGGTCTTCCTGGGCTCACTTCAAAGGCTTTGGGGGGCGGTGGGGGGACTAATTGAATTAAGCTTGTTGTGTCACACCTGCGATGTAATTACTTCTTGAATAATTTTTGCATGTTTTTACAGCTTTCCCTCATCTTTAATCTTCGGCGGCCTTGTCAGCATTCTTCATTTGCAGCCTGAAAAAAAAATAAAAGGAAAAAGAAATGAGTACCCTCAGACAAATTTCCCATCATGAAAAGTTTATTTTTAAAGTTATGGACTCTTGAGATATTAAGAGGTTGGTTTATCGCCCAAATTGAAATGTAGCTCCCATAAAAAAAAACTGCAGTATAAAAAGAAATTGACCATCACTTCATGAGAAAAAGCTCATTTCATCATTAGACCTCTTTGAAATGAAGACACGTGGCAGAGATGTATTTAGAGGTCCAATTTCACCTTTTGCACACTCTACAAAATGTAGATTTATGAAGGAAACACTTTATGTTAGTTATGCTAATATCACAAAGGCAGATTTTCTATCTCCTGGAGGACCGGCTATAAGAATAAATGATGAGCTGATGGCATTTTCATCAAGAAAACAGCACAGATCCAGCCTTCGTGGCATCGCTGTAATGGCATGCTGATTTAAATTTCCATCACAATAACGGTGTTAATGACTGCTCCTTCAGAGACAATCGTTCCCCCCTCAGTGTTTTCTCCCCTTTTGACAGCGGGGAATTGATTCTGTTTCTGTCCATAAAGAACAGACACCTCTCATCGTCACTGAGCATTCATAATGGCATCCTCAGATTCTATGTGGTCCTTTACCATCTCCAACAAATTAATGTACTGGAAAAACAGAACAGAAACACAATTTCGGTGCACAGAGACCAAGAATATCTGAGTGTGCAAACACCGCAGCGGCAGTGAAAACACAGCTGATTAACTGGGATGCTTTTGCCCTCGGCTCAATTCCCAAGAAATTACTTTTGCAGCGCAGCTATAACAGAGTGAAATCTACGGGACTTAAAGGATTTATCATTTTTAATTGAGGACTCCTTAACGATGATAAATGTTGACAGGTGGGACATTAATTGCTTGTGGCTGTCTCTGTTATGAGCAGGGAAAGTCCCATTATAATGCATTGTTTAATAAATCTAACAAAGCCAGAGGATTTATAACAAAAGTAAACACTTGTACCTGCACGGTGCCGTAATACCACTTAAATTCCACCGTGGTACACAGTATTTTCTCTTTAATTAATCCCCTCCTGGATGACTAAATCTTGCTGAATTTCTGGATACGTGGCCCGAATATCAGACCCAGGCTGCAGCCTTGATGCTGATGGTGTATGGCAGACTCTGGACACTTAAAATGATGCATTGCTTAGTGTTGTGTCTGCTGGTAAAGGGACAGTACAACAAATTTAACTGTGACATTTGACTTGATCCTCCAGACAAATACAAATTATACAGGATGGGAGGCCCGGGCTTTGCAGGAAAACCAGAAAAATAAATTACAGCCTTAAAATGGAGATGTTTACAAATTTCAAATACATTTTTCTTCAGTTTTCTTTTACATGATCTCACCTCAGTCGTCTCACTAAACCACTTTGACACAAAACAGCCACAAGTCCGGATCCTCTCATGCAGAAATGATTACAGACATCGGCAGATGAGACACACATGAAGAGTGTGAGAGTGTGTTACTGTATGTGTGTCCTACCCTCGGTCCCTGCAGCTGGATCCGCTGTCTTACTGTCTGTCTGTCTGTCTGTCCTCAGCTCGGGACAGGTGGAGGAGACTCCTCGGTCCTCCGGTGTGCCACCGTGCGCTCTCTGCTCCTGTCGGGGGGGACCCAGCACGCATTTACACCTCAACAACATCCACTAAAACATTAGCATTACAGTACTAACACTTAGGACAAGTAAGAATAAAACTATTCATCTGTTAAATAATAAGCTCCTAGAGGCTGACAGCACTGGGAATATAAAACACCAGTGCGTAATGTTAATAAAACTCACTATTATCATCATTACAGCTTTGTCGTCGCATTTTAATGGAAAATAAAAGAACCGAGCCTGCAGGAAAATGGGATTTCTTCCTCTCAGGTGACCCTCCGAGCCACACAAAATATATTGTTTTAATTAGCTGGTGAATGAGCCGATGTTTCTTACCGAAGGGTCGCTGCTGGAGGACTCGGAGCGGTTTGCATCAGGTGAGCCGGAGCGGAGTTAGTGGTCGAGCAGGAGGGAGCAGGAGGGAGGAGGAGGGAGGAGGTGTCCTGCCAGGAGCCCTGGTAAGAACTGAGATATCTCTTAAAGCGACCTTATGCCTCAGACTCCGGCTGGGATGTGATTGGGAACATGTTACATAATAAATACTCCGTGGCACGCACGCACGCACACATGCACGAGCACAGGCACGCGCCCACAGAGAGAGAAGGGGGGGGCAATGGGGAAATTGAATTATGTGAATATTTGTACACATGGTCTGTTTCACCCAAATGTATTAGTGACATGATATGATTCATTTAGTCTCCTGTGAAGGGAGATGCTGAGCCCTCACATAATGAGACCACTTTCATATATTCCCAAAGAGGAATCGCTGTAATATCACTGTAATAGTAATATAATGTTGATTTATGATGGGCTGTTATTGTAGTGCAATGTTTTTAAATTCCTATGGGGCTTTCTCTGGTTGCTATAGGTGTCATTATACAGAATCCTGCCTGCACAGAAACATATTTAAAGGGTCCGTTGTGCAACATTCAGGAGGATCTATTGGCAGAAATGAAATATAATTTGGTTTTTATTAGTGTTTAATCACCTGAAAATAAGAATTGTTGTGTTTTTGTTACCTTAGAATGAGACATTATTATCCAAAGAGGGAGCCGCTTTTGTAAAATTACAGGAGGCCACTTAATAAATAAACATTAAAGAGCCCCTCCGGTCATAAATCAGTTTTAATCCTCGTTCCTACAGTTTAATATCTGAACGATGTCTGTGCAGAGTTTGACTCCAGAAGGATGTTTTCACATTCATCTGCTGGAAGTGGAAAGTTTCTCTGAACTCAGTGAACAGCTGATTTTAAGGGGCGGGGCCTACAAGTGTTGATTTGTGACATCACAAGTAGTTTGGAAGTCAAGTAGATGTGTTTTTAAGGATTTTAATGTGGAAATTATAGTTTTATTTGCAGATAAAAACACATCAGACACACATTATTGCTCCAAGCAGGCTATTTATATATGTCTTAATACATTCATGTAGGGGATCTTTAATAATATTTATCAGATTAAATGGATAAAAATCAGGATCGTCGATGTAATAAGACAAGACTTATTTTCTGACGATGCTACCAGGTGGGAACGCTGCACTGAAGCTAGCATATTTTGACTTGCAGTGGCTCCTGATATGAGCAACACTGCATACAGCAGCTGTCATGTGGTTCAGGTATTGGAGGAGTAGGAGGCAACATAAAGGCAAATTCATTCGTCAATTTTTCATTGAACTGCCTGTTTACATTGTCGTCCAGCAGGTCAGAAATCAGGAGTCAACACTAATGCACAGATCGCTGCAATTTCCCAACAGCCAAAGGACATTATTGAACATCTAAATAGAAACTATCCCAGTATGAATCAGTTTGTCTATCTGGGTTCTTTAGTTTCACTGCTGTGGATGTATAAGCTGTTTTCACAAAGTGTGTCTGTTGAACAAAGACAGAGGACATGCATCGTCTATATCTAAGTATATGATACATAAAATGTTAAAAGAAATCCAAAATCATTTGATTCTGCCGGAATTCAATAGCCAATATTGATGGATGCAGATGGATATCGATTGATATGTGCATGCATTGTAGCAAGACCATGAACTGACTTCTCTCTCTGTTATAAAGATCATTAACTTTGTCAATATGAAACGCCTCAGATTGATCACTGCTAAACGCAAAACCGACCACGCCGGTGCCGCGTTCTCTGCATGCAGAAGGCACCTTTTGCATAATTGTCCACGTTCATACAAACTAAAAGCATCATCAGGATGAAAACCCTTGTCCAGATCCCTCCGCAGATAACACCTAGAACTATTTTAAACCTGTTTTTTGCACCTCTCGAGCGTGTGCAACAGATTGTTAACTGCTTCTTCACACTGTCCCCACACACTCCTGTTTCAAGTGCAGGCTGTATGAGAGAACAGTAATAGCTGTTTGTCTGAGAGGCAGAACGCTGCAATGACTTGCCACCAACAACAACAGCTCTGTGGGTGTTTACTTGACACAGAGACACGGGTGTCAAGTCACTCAAGACAATTAATCTATGCACATATTTTTCGGGAGAAAGGCAGGAATGCTGACAATGGCTCGGTCAACAGTACGGCAGGACTGGATGTTTTTGCTTCTAATGAGCAACTATTCAATATATTGAGACATGCTGTACCTCCCCCTTGAGCAATCTCCACTTCTGTCACTCAAATCTTGATTCTTTTTCTCTCAGCGAGAAGAAAACATTTCTTAAGAGTCTAAGTCTTAAGTGTCTCGAGTGCTACGACGGCATGAAATTGTGTTTTTGACAGCGTGTCCAGCAGTTCATTTGTGATTGATAAGTGACAAGCTGAAGGACTTTCGGCACAATGGAGTGTGGCCAGAGTAGCTTGTGCAATCTAGAGAGGAAGAATACCTCTTATGGAAAAGGGAACATTTCTGTCACAAGAGCACACAATGTTCAACAGAAAGCAGATGAGTTTTTGTTCCGTCTCAGGTGATAAGAACAGATAACATGTTCCAAACATTTCTGAAAACTTCTCTCTCTGACGCATGAAATATTTGATTGTTCTCTGATCGCTTCTGTTATTCGGTGCACTCTATCGACTGTTTAGACTACCGTCCTGAGTCCATTTACACAATACATAGTGTAACTTGATTCAAACCTGTGTCCATATTTGGATTCAGAAAGAGACTCATATTACATAAGGTATCTGTAAGTGGTTCTTGTGGGAAAATTGTTAATAGTTTTATGTGTCAGTGCCAGTATAAATCAATATAGGGACTGTGCCCCATTAACAAGGAATGGTTCCCCTGCTGTAGCGCCACATATTCTCGCTTAATAGTTTTTGGAGAGCGATTGGTTTCTCCGTATTTTTCTAAGCGCATATCGGCTGTTTTTTGTGTGATTTATTTGTGTTGACAAAAAACTTGCACTTTAACAGACCTTTAATATCCTCCGCTGTGCAGTGTTGCTTCAAAATAGATTCTAACACCAGCCAGCGAAAAAGAAAGAAAGAAATGCTGAGTCTTTGTAACTTCACACTTTGTTCAGTCATGTCTTAAAGCAGGGACAGAAAGAAAGAAAGAAAGAAAGAAAGAAAGAAAGAAAGAAAGAAAAAAGAAAGTAAAAATACAACACAGGAGAAATTCACATTATGTATTATTATGTTTGTGAAATATTTTGTGATTGCAAGAGGACTTTAAATAAAGTAAAAATAATTTATTAAAGCTAAAATGAACACTGCTGTGAGAGGGGGCTTATTGTTGTGTGAAAAGTTAGTCATAGGTTCGTGTTTGAGCTCAGAAACGTGGCAATGATGGAATTAAATCTGCTCTCCCTGAAAATAAATGAGTGCTCATTGGCTGCCAATAAGTTATTGTTATAATGAGTTATGAAGAATGAATAAATACAATTTAAAGGGCCCCTGCAGACATGTGAGTGAGTGAGCACAAACAAAATACATTTTGGGTAGAAGCATGAGTAAAATTTGTTTAATTCTGAACATAGCAAAGGGCTTGTTGTTCATTAAACGTATAATATGTAATTTTCTGTCTCTCACATCAAAACAATAACAAAATACAAAGTGTGATGAGGTTGTGAAGCAGCGTGGGATCATGGGAGTTGTTGTCTTCACCACCATTGCAGTCAGCTTCTCCCAGTTAGGATTCCTTCAGTGTTCATGGTTCAGGAGGTTTCTACCAGGAGCCCAATGATCCACAGAGGTCTCCTCCTCTCCAACACAAACAGACCCGCTGATTAAAACCACTAAACACACTGAATAAAGCATTTCCACCTTAAAAACCACTGCTACTGTAACGTTAGCTCAGCTTGTTTCTCTGATAACTTAAGATCCAGACGTCTGATGACTAAAATCCTTCATCCAGCTCAAATCTAGAGTTAAAAAGCACCAAGATCTAAACAGTGGATGGTAACAATGTGGCTTCAGACTGGATCAACAGTCAATGTGTGACAGCTTCTGACAGACAACCACAACACTGACGACCGGCGAAACGCAGTGTTACCTGAATAAAATGACAGATGTCTCTGAGTTTTAAACATTGTTGGAAACATTTAAATATAATGTAAGAACTCAACTACATATAGAACATATCCTTAGTGTTTATTGACATTTTAATGCAGAAGTGTTACAGATTAGAGCTTTAAAGGGATCCTATTGTGAAGAGTCAGAACCTATAGGGAAGCAGTAACATGAAATAAAATAAGAGGCAGAAGGAACTCAACTCGGAGGGTGAAAATGATGCTCATAAAAACTAGTATTTGGTTACAGCTCAGTGCTGTTATGAAAGACATCTCACTGTAGTGTTCATAAATATGGGCATATAAGGCCAACAACTGTTATGCAACAATAATTAATGTAAATAGGATAGAAAATTAATATTTCCTGAGTTCTTACAGGGAGCGGTAAATTATGAAACAGGCTGCCACGTTTGTATGTAAATTTCTCATGTGTTACTGTAAAATGAGGGCAAGCTCTGTCTGTCGGGGGATTACTGCGTGCCTCTGTTTACAGCTCACCTATGGTGGAAGTATAAAAATATCAGAATGAAAAGATTTACAGTCACTTACCCCGACCTTAATGCCATGGGGATGTTGTTTTGTGCCAACACTGCAGTGCTGGTCACATATTAGCTCACATAAATCCCATATGTCAGGCGGTGATAAGGATCCTTATGCACACATGTATGCATGTATGTGACTGGATGAAGCGGAGAGCAGCATAATTGATGCACTAATTAATCAAAAGCTGCACTCCAGTGATGTTGCAGCTCTCGCACAGGAGTCTGTTTGTGCACTTTGAGGACGGGTGACGCTGACCGAGATGTATGTGAATGTATGTATGATCCGTGTGTTGTATGCAATATGTATTCTGTTTGATGTTGATGATATTAGGTCGTATTTCTCTTTCTCTTTAATTAAACTTTTGATCTGTCTGCTGTAAACTGCAGATTTATGACTTTATGGTGTGAAAAGCTAACAGCTAACAAAATCTAAATATGGCTGAAGGCTAATTCATCCTCACAAAAACATTGATCTAGAGGCTTGATTCTTCCTTGAACACCGTCTGTCACTGCAACCTTA